CTCTCTCTCTCTCTCTCACTGGAATCCTGCATTAAGGCATTAAGGTTCCCTGACATCTTTTTCTTAGTTTTAAAGACAGTAACCAGTTCTGGTGCAGAATAGGCACTGAATAAATATTTGTTCGAAGAAGGAATACACTCAGGTGATTGCTAAATGTACTTTAAATTAGACAATGTGATTACTTAAATAAGAAAAAAACAATATATGGGGCTCAGTTGTCCAATTGTCAGCATTTTACAACCTAATTATATGAATATTTTGGTAAGCTCTCTATTTTATTGTCTGTGTAGACAGAAGGATAATCTTCTTAGGGAATAAAATATTTTTCCCCTTTAAGGTTAAGAATCTGATCTGTCTAAACTGCTTAGTCTCCTAGAGAGAGAAAAAAACTGATTATATTTGGGTGATAGTTCTCCTTGGTCAAAGGTAAATGTTAGCTCTTAGAAAGATCACACTAACATTCTCCCCAAAGCAAAACATTTTTAATTTGGACTTTTTGAAACAGCTATTAAGATAAAAAATCATCTCATTCTTTATCTGGGGGAGCTACTGACCTATAAATTGTTTTGGTAACAATCCCCTGCATTGGTATTACTGTAGACATACTGGCTAAAAAAGTGTGTTGCTAAAAACATAGTGAATATCTATCTAGCTTAAAATAGCTAAATATAAAATTCTAAAACAAACTTTCCCCCAAAGGAACAGACATCAGATATAAAAGAACATCAGAATTGTGCAGCCTCCAACTGGAGCACTGATGGCATTAAAACTAAATAAAATCATTAAGTTCTTTCACACAAAAAGTGTTTGGGTCTCTTAAGTCCTTAGTGCTGTAGATTATATATAGGCTTTTAAGTGTGTGTCTTCAAGGACCGCCTTAAGACATATTGATAGAACCTAAAAGTCATAAAGATGAATGTTTTGCTTTTGTTTTACTCTAGGGTTTTGTGTTGTTTCTAAGAAAAATAATTTAAAAAAATTCTGGTAGGATTTGGGGTTCAGTGTTTTGTTGATAACTTTTCCTTATACTCATGGGCAGGTAAAGTGTTTAAAACTTTCCTTTGACTTCACTGTCAAGAGGCAGTTAGGCATCTGCATTGAATAAGTATCACTGGATGCCCTTTAAACTTTGTTTGTAGGCTGATTCGTAAGTTTTTTTTTAACTCTAAGAAGGTCAACAAAACTCCTTGCTTTCAGCTTGGCCCTCACTCTATTTTTATATACACACTTGGCTAAATTTTAACACTTACTCTCAAATTCCAGAAAGAATTCCGTTGGGATTTTATAGGAATCTCAATGAATGTAACTGGAGAGAATCGACTAGTAACCATAGTGAGCTGTTCTATCAGGAATATGGTGAGTCTCCCCATTTGTTCTGATTTTCTTTTATGTCCTTTTGTAGTAAAAGTAAAAGATTTTATAAATTTAGCATACTTCTTGTTCATTATTTTTGTATGTTTTTAAAATCTTTGTAGGTATTAATAGCATTTATTTCTACTTTTTAATTGATAATTAGTGGCACATTGGTGCCACTGATTTTATATTTATATATCAGTGGCATACTGATTTTATATTTATGCTATATTTCAGCACTTTACTAACTGATCTTATTGGATCAGAAGACTTCCAGCTGATATTTTTAAAAACCCTCTTTGAATGTCTTTTAGTATCTTTTTAGAGGACTCTGAGGAATTAACACTAGGCTTCATGGTGAGAGATTCTCTCAAGGGAGTTCTTATGTAGGAAAAAAAGATTTTTAATGCAGTATCATATCATTATTACTGTAGTAGTGAGCCAAATAATTTTCAAAAGCTTAGAATAAATCTATTCTTAGTTTGTGCTTCTTTCTACCTTAACTGCAAACAAGCTCTGGTCACTAACTTGTGGTTTGCTAAGGCTTCAGCATGTTGTACTGAATAATAATCTTACATGGAAATCATCATCCTCTGTGAGGCAGATGAAATATTTGCAAAGCGATTTACAGAGTGTTACGGTCATAGAATTATTTTTGTGGAAAGCAACCCTAACTAAAATAAATGAGAAACATGTGCCTAGAAGTAACTTATGAGTCTACAAATGTTTTAAGTTGTCCTGTGTATTTAAAAAAAATTAAGATCATGGTCCAAATATCTTCTAAACATGTTTATTTCATCTCAGAATCTTACTCGTATTATCAAATTATGGCTTTCTAAATCAAAACATTTCATTTCAAATGAATGAAATGATTTCTTAAATCTAAAATCGAATACTCGTTTTAAGGATCAGCCAGGGACACAGTTCACGTCATGGTTCCCAGAGATGAGCAACATCAGATCCTAGAACCGGGAATTCCTTGCCACCCCAGCGGCACACGGAGACAGGAACTGCCAGGCCTCTGACGCCTCGCGAGGGAGTGGCAGTGGGCACCTGTCGCCGCACTGTTTTCCAGGAAAGTTGCTGTTTTGATATGGAGACCTTTGGGAGGCCGGCGAGCCCACAGCAATACCTATTCCCAAATTCCATTTGCCTCAGGGATATTTTAATCTTTGGGCTAAAAAAATCTTTTATTTGTTAATCTACCATATTTTATACAAAATAAAATTTCCCTTTATCACATTTTATTGGATTATCTAACCAAACCTCTTATGGAAATATAAAGTCAACGAGAGCATTTTTCCACTAGGGATTGGGGTGGAAACACGTTTTATAATAATTATCATATTTATTTATTTATTTTTTCCCTAGTTAGGGGTGAAAACACATTTTGAACATCTGACCTGTCAACTTGATTCATGTGTTTTCTGCACTGGGTTTAGTAGTTACATGCAGTTTTCAGAAAATAACACAAATGTAGTATTAAATACCCTTTGTACATGGATCTACACCTGTTTTAAAACTCTGTCCTTTCTTGTACATACCTGTATTTCTTTAAACATGAAGACACCCCACATTGCAGCTACAAATCCTGGACCCTTAAACAAAGAAGAGCTTTAATTATATCAGTTATTTTTCTGTCATTGTACTCTATATAAATATAATAAATTGGACAGCTGACCTGACACTTTAATCAAATAACTTTCTATTATAAAAGCAATATAACAATATTGTCAGGGAAATAATCTCAAACCTAACTCAACATTAAGCTAAACTAAGTAACATTAGGTAAAAAACGAAGAACTTTTTGTGTTTTTGGATTTAGTTGTTTATTTTATGAACAATATAGAAATGTCAAAAACATACTGTTTGAAACCCAGGCTTTATATTAAAATTTAAGGATGTTTCTAACTTTAATGCAATGTGTTTTAGCCTAGAAAATATGTTTTTAAAAAATCAGTTTTCTAGGTTTGCACAGATGTGCTGATAAAATGTTTCAGGCAAATTTTGTTTATGATGATGATTTAAAAGCAGGGCATGCAGGTGAACAACTGGTCAGCAGACTCAAATATCTAGTGTAGCCCAACATGAAAGCAATTAATTCCTGTGTGTATATATGTCAGTCCTCTTACCATAATGAACCTGAAACAAACTCTGAATTGGACTCTCTACTGATGGCAAAAAGTAACACTGTGTACTGGAAACTGCACTTAGAAGCCTTGAGATTTCTACTTGCTTTCTCACTCCCACAATACTCGTAGCAATTGCCTCAATATTCTCATCTTCAAAATGGGGACAATCCTATTAATACTTGTCTGGTCTATGCCAAAGGAAGTATTCTGTTTTTTGGATACCTAACTATGTGCTACATAATTAGCACCTAAAAAACATCAGATAGATGAGACAAATTGTATTATGTATGCCACCGTGGATGGCATTATCCAGAGACAATGCTTTGCTTTCTAAAGCACATTCTGAAAGCCTTCTCTAAAAATACTGAAGTTTCATATAAAGAGGAGTAGGAAATACTTTGTCTCACAAGGTTGTCATGTGATTCAAGCATGATAATATACAAAAAAGCATTTCTATATGTTATATAAAGATGAATGTTGTTATAAATAGCAAGTTATAATGTATCCAAAAAGACAGTAGGTAAAATGACCCAACAAACACTTTCAAGGATATCAAAGATTAACAAACCTGCTAAAATGAAGCTAGCAATGTTCCATTAGCTATGGGGGACATGAGATTAGAGGGTATCAGTTTATCTCCATGAATCTATTATACTAATTGTCCTCTTAAAAAATCAAATTCCATAGCAATCTTCAGTGATTCACTAAGAATGCTTCAGAGAAATTAGATTTACATTTGAAAAACAAAAATTTGGAGAAACACTTCAGTTACTCACAGCAGTGATTATCGGAAAACTGACCACAGCACTCAGAGAGTGGTTAGCGATGAACCAACAGCAGGTGCCCATTGACCAAAGTATCCCCGACAGAAATCCTGAAACACACACAAACATCTCACATGTACAAGCCACGCTCCCCTCCTGAAAAATTCACACTCTAGATGTAGCAGGAATATTAAACTACATATATCAAGGCATTCCTATCAACATTATTGGCCAATGTGGATTTTTGAGTATGCTAAATGATTGTTTTGGAAACCAACCGATTGCTCTTGACTGCTGTGGGTATCATTATCAATCCTTTCACTTTATCGACTTTAAATAAAGTACCCAAAGTAGTAACTGAGTAAAGACTGGGTAGTGGAGCGGGGCCTAGGGAAGACACTAGATCAGAACAAGCTCTGCAAACACCATTTACTCTAAACCATGGGCATAAAAATATGTGAAATTCAGGATGATGCTTGTAGCTAAGGAAAAAAAACACCTCCTAGAATTTATATGAAATACCAGCTAAAAATTTCATGATACTTTAACTAAGCCTTCAATAAATATTCTACCATTTTCTATAACGTTATAGTGGTAGAGTTGCACATGTTGGCTTAAGTCAATCAGGCTCTCAAAAATGAGTCCCTGACATATGCTTTATTTTGTACTATAAAAATTTTACTTGTGGACTTTTATTCCAAATTGAATTGTAGCAAAACCAAAAATGAGAAATTTTATATATACATATATACATATACATATATGTATACACACACGTGTAAAATTTACCATCAATGCCTAATTGATTAAGTCCAAAAGTATGTGCATTTATCATATAGCTTTTTGAGCTCTAAAATAATTTCTACTTACATTTTAGAAAAAATTTTTGCTTTCCCAAGTGGCTACAGATTCCTATTTGTTGATACTTAAAAAAAACCCCACAAAATCACAGGACTCTGACTTTTAATAGGAATCCTTAGATAGTAAAAAAGAAATGATAAAGTCTGATGGTCAATACATAAGATGTTTTGGCGTAGGAAATGATCTTAGATTTATTGTTCAAGTTTGAAGTTCTGTAATAATGACTAACATTTTATATTCAGTTTCATGGTTTTTAAATCCTTCATAGTTGGTGGTGAACTTGGCGAAAGCAATTAAGGGAATGAAAATACACACGCGCGCGCGCGCACACACACACACACACACACACACAGGATGGCTTGATTTCCAGGAGATGATTAAATTAAATGAGTAGAGAATGATAGTTTTATAGAGTAAGAAGATTTTCTATAGTAAATGTTCTTACCTGGCAAGACTGCTTCAGGATATAGTTTAGGATTATTTTTCATGGCTATACAGTAAGCCAGAAAGTAGATGGTACTTGTAAGAAAAATGCCACTGGCATGTGCAAAAGCATAGTCCAAATCTGAAAACAGATTATAAAGCTCTCAAGTGTATCATTTTAGTCATTTCAAATATAGAGTTCTAAAACAAACTCACTGAAATTAGCCTTAAACATAAAGGAACCATTAATTATATTTTATCACCCTCGTTTTCTACATGCTCGCTATATAGAATTGTAATTAACATATTAAAAGCCAAAAAATATGAAGTAGTAAATTAGTTATTATAATCAAAAGGCTTGTTTTTATGATCATCTTGGAAAACTAAACAAGAAACAAGCAGCACCATTTGAATACAATGTTAATATCATCCTTTTTAAGAATAGGTAATCAGCCCGGCCAGGCGTGGCTCAGCGGTTGAGTACCGGCCTTGGATCCAGAAGATCGCGGTTCGGTTCCCGGTCAGGGCACTTGCCGGGGTTGTGGGCTCCATCCCCAGTCGGGGGCGTGCAGGAGGCAGCCGATCAATGACTCTCTCATCACTGATATTTCTCTCTCTCTCCCTCTTCCTTCCTCTCTCTGAAATCAATAAAAATATGTTAAAAAAAAAAAAAAGAACAGGTAATCAGACCTAATTTCTCTAATGGTTAACAGCAATTGTAGCAAATTTCCAGTATGCTGTAGTGGGAGGGGGTATAAAAAATTGGGGGGACCACTAATTTTATATTGTCTGTTGATCAATCTGGAGTCCAGTACCTCTGTTGTAGATATGACATCTATATAGAAAAATATTTAGGAAGTTACCCCAAAGAGACATTTATTCGATTGCTTGCTATACCTAATTACAAGAGGGATTTAACACATGATGGTGACCCAAGGTCTGAGAAACCCCCTCTCTACTGACTGTTTAGGCAGATGGTACTTTGGCCATAAAGATGGGTACACTACAGGTTCCAGCTGGGAAGGCCACGTTGGACTCAATGATTCTCTCAACTAAACTTCTGACTAAGATAAATGGCTATATTTAGGGAGGGAAGTTGGAAGATCAAAGTATTTATCTATTCTTCAGAAATATTAAGTCCTACTTCTGGATCATATAAGAACACACCCATCCGTGCAATGCCACAAAAGGCAGTGTAACAGCAATGAAAAGCACAGACCAGCTGAGGGCTAATCCTGAACCCACGACTTGCTAACTTTGAGACTTGGGCAGATTATCTAATCTCTTCCTGTCTTAATTTTTTCGATTATAAAACAATAATCATAATGGTATTCAACCAATAATGTTGTTATAATGGAGTTTGACCCGTAATGTGGTTACACATGAATTATTATTGTAATGTGCTTAGAACAGTGCCTAAGAGAGCATGTACTACTCCTGTGTTTGTTAAATAAATGAAATAAAAAATTATGACCCTCTAGAATTTTTACATAAACTGTGTTTCTTTCAGGCTATATTTGAGTTGTCATAAGAAAGATTCCCAAGAACTGATTGTACTATTTGTGTACAGAAATTGTCAAGGACATTGTTTATTAGGACAACTGTACTCCTAAATAATTAGTCATTTTTATCTTGTGTTCGATAAATTGTGGGACTGATCTGATTTCTCTTGTGGCTATAAGACATCTTAGAGCCAGATTTATGGTTCATTTCTATCAAGTGTACGAGTGTGGTACATTTTTTAGACTCATTTCTGGATCCATTTTATTTTTTCACTCTTGTTTTTCTTTCTCTTTTAATTTATCCCATGTGTTATTCTATTTTTATTAGTTTTTATCTTTTAAAAAATGAAAAGAATAAAAATATGAGAAGTATTTGTATAAAATCTAAAAGAAAAGAGAGACGTTAATAACAGGTTTGAAAACTGTTCATGGAGCGGAATATAAAAAGGAAGAGAGCAGCTATGGTATCTAGTCAAAGCCTAGCTACTATTTAAAGTTGAGTTAAAATCCCAGCCTTTCCATAGATCTTTCTCCCATGACTTTGGCCCCCTAAACTTCTCCCTTACCTGAGCATAGATCACATTAATTTTCTGTACCATCCAATTTAGAACTTCATTATCCATGGTCTCATTCTTTTATCATGTCATGGGTGTAAACCATGTTTCAACATAATTGTAGGACCTCTGAAGTAGACACTTCTTCATCCCCTTTTGAATCTCTACAAGGCTATCGAACATCGTGTTGAATTTCCACCTAAGCAATTAATTCTATCACTAGAAACAGATTATAAGGGAGCATTACGTTGGGCCTTTCAATGTACCACCCTGTGTTTAAAAAGTAATATTTTCTGACTAAATAGGCTCTACTTCGCCCTTTAGGAAGCTTATACTTTAACCTTTACTTGATTTTAAAGTACTATGTCCTGAACTTTAGCTTTTTTTTTAAAGAGCAGAAGAATACATATTTTCCCACAAAATAATCTCCAAATCTTAGTGTAAAGCTGGAAGCCACGTGTTAAGATCCAAGGAGCTGAAGTGAATGCTGATAGAGTAAAGTTGGTTATATTTGTATGTTAAAGATCGCATGAAAATACACGAACAGTCCTTTATTACTGTTAGTCTTCAGTGCCTTTCTAATTCACCACTTCAATAAAAAGTAGGATCAAATCTATGTCCACTATATACTATGATCACATTATTTAATTGAATTAATTGGGGTGACACTGGTTAAAAAATTATGTAGGTTTCAGGTGTACAATTCTATAACACAGCATCTCAATATTGTCTTGTGTTCACTACTGTAAGTCAAGTCTCCTTGCATCACTGTTTAACCCCCTTTACCTTCCTTCACCTCCCCCACTCCCCTTTCCCCTCTGGTAACCACCATATTGTTGTCTGTGTCTATGAGTTTTTTTTGTGTTTTTTTTTTCTTAATCCCTTCACCTTTCTTAAATAGAAAAACAGGCATTCAGTTTATCAACAAAGTAACTTTTCACTCTTACCATACTGGCTTGCCCCTGCATATATACTATCATTTCTTTTGCTGTGGTCCTTGATGTAAATGATTGGCACAAATGTGGATCCATAGAGTATTCCAGATATCACTGCAAGACTGCAGCCCCTTAAGAAACAAATAAGTCACTATTAATCTTGGTTGAAAGAAATATTTCTGACAAACACACAAATGGAATCATAATGAAGGCATGCTTCAAAATGTAAATCACAAGCAGGCATGTAGAAGTCACCCATCTATCTCAAGCTCTAGGACTGGGAGGAAGTCAAAGGACCCTGCAGTGTCCAAGCCATTGGGACTAAGAGTGCAGCTTAGGTCCTCCACTGTCTAATTCTGGAAATACATGACTTATAAAAGTTATATACCGATTATCATTATAAACTGTCATTACATAGTTGGGAATATTGCTATCACATTATACAGTCTCCGTAGATAAATGTGGCTCTCTAATGAAATTATGAAGTATTTGTGGCCTGGCACTATGCCATAGGCTTTTTTTTTTGAAACACAGGTTTGTTCAAAACAACTATGGAGATCCACTGATTTGCCTGTGTCTTACTGACTACGGCATGGTCAACAGGCAGTGATGATTTAATAAAATGATCTAGATGGTTAAGGTAAAACATCACCCTTTGTAGGAAGGAAATGTTTCATGTTAAGCACTGGAGTCATGCTGACTCCTCAGACTTGATATCTGCATGAAGCAAGCGTTTCCAATGATTTTCGGGGAAGGTGATTAGTATTTTTTAACAGTCCCGTTAACTTAATACAAAAGGAATATGGCATGAAACAGGAAAGAGTGTTAGGAAAAAACTGTTCCTTTTCAAACTTAAAAACAAATTCTTAATGTCTATTTTCATAGAGCTTTAAGGAATATAAAATTGTAGAAACTCACAGAGCCAACTCAGCAATGAGCTCTATTCACGCAGGAAATCCTACGTGGTGGTGAAGGCTGGACTTCACAGTCCAGGAGGAGGGCCCCCAACACAGACCAGGCTAATAAACCAGGTCTGGCTAATTGTGAGGCAACTAAAAATATTCTTCTGAACAAATATTTCCTTAACAAAAGAGATGCTTTGTGGAAAAAACCCCACAAAAACATTTTGTTTGGGAGATGTTTTATTCTGAAACACAAAGAGCAACATATTTGTTTCTTCAAAAGCTTGTTTACTAGTCTTTCATTTGTTCTATGTATTCAAATGTTTATCGAGCATTTATTATGCACCAGGCACTACCTCTTTCCCATTGTGAGGATATTGTATATGCGCACAGAAGAAATGCTTTATATTCTTGAGGCAAAAGAAGGTGTCATTGCATAAAGTCCAAAACAGCCATCAGTTGTAAAATGCAAGCTGTATACTATTATATAGTTTCACAATTCTTTGCCAGCCCCTAAAACCCTAAAATATAGGGGCTTCTATTGAGCCTAATTCTTTCAGTCTTTATGAAGTCATTTGGGGGAGGGGGTAGTATCTACATAAAAACAAAATACTGTATCTGACAAAGAATATCTTGGGCCCAGCCGGGCGTGGTTCAGTGGTTGAGCGTCGACCTAGGATTCAGGCGATCAGGGTTCGATTCCTGGTCAGGGCACATGCCCGGGTTGCGGCTGCAGCCGATCAATGACTCTCTCATCATTGATGTTTCTATCTCTCTCTCTCCCTCTCCTTTCCTCTCTCTGAAATCAATAAAGAAATATTAAAAAAAGAAAGAAAAAAAAAGAACATCTTGGGATTATAAGGCTGTCTAACACAACAGTGGAGAGATTTCTCTTGGAAGGTGGACATCCTGGGGAGTGCAGCACTAGGAAGTGTATTGCCTAATTCAACTGGGATTCCTGAGAGCACGCTGGTCATTGTCTTCTGTGGCCTATACCACCTCTTTTACTTTAGGTGCAAAAGTCTTGCAAAATGAGATTGCTTTTGTCGGCTACTGATTGGCCAGGGATACCGCAGTGGCTTAGGATTTCCTTGAATCACTGAGACAAAGGACCTCTGCATCTAAAAATTCAGTGGCAGACAAGAAACTCTCTCCACCATGGAGCTAAAAAAGTCAGAGCTCATGTTGCCATTTTCTTCTTGAACTCAGGTGAGTATCACTTCGCTCCAGTAATCTTTGCTTTTACCAAATACAAAAGAAAAGAACAGAACCTCTTCTTACACTATGCGGGACTGCACTGCAGAAAGCCTATCCACCCAGGAGGAACCAGGACAGGGATCTTGAGTTTTGTTGGTCACCTATTGAAAACATTGGCACAACCAAGACAAAAACAGCATTCAATTGATAATCACGTTGGCGACAAAGAGATTTTCAGTGTTTTTCTCTTCTCTCTCAAATGTACTTTAAAATGTGAACATTTTATACTATGTGTTATTCTGTGGATATCTCTAGACTCAAATGCTTCTGATTCTGACCCTCTTTTAATTCACAGTGAGTTGGTACTTGGTAAGTTGTCTGTGTAAATTTTTTTACAGTTTTAACATATGGCTATTTTGATACACCTATCAAAATTAACAAAAGTGCCTGGCCAGGATGGCTCAGCAGTTGAGCATCGAACTACAATCCAGGAGGTTGAGGTTTGATTCCCGATCAGGGCACATGCCTGGGTTGGGGGGTCCATGCCCAGTAGGGGGCGTGCAGGAGGCAGCTGATCAATGACTCATTGATGTTTCTATTTCTCTCTCTCTGAAATCAATAAAGACATATTAAAAAAATTTAACAAAAGTTATTAATGCTTGTGTTTCATTTACATATTTTAATAATCTGTAAAGAAATGACAACCAAGGAAAACTCAAAGACTCCTTTACTATGGACTGCCTTAGGTCAACAGGCATATTTTTATTCAGATTTTTTTTTTTAAACTGAAATTAGTTAATAAAACAATTCCAGCCATGTTTCAAGATTAGGCTAATATTCTAAATCAGGAAAAATTATGAGCAAATTCATAGTATTTCTATTATTGTATATAATGATCTTTGCCTCTTAGCTGGAGTTTCTTGATGTTATACTCCTACTGCTTTCATAAGAGATAAGAAACTAGATTTGAGTTCATTGCTAAATCAAGTTTTCCTTTGGCAATAACTGAAGAGCTCGTGCTGTATGGTTGCACACTAACCAATCGCGCTGTTTATGCACCTTTAAACTTGGTTTACTTGTATCCTTCCATTTTGCCTAGAAAAATCTAGCCTACCATGTATATCTGTGTGTTACCAAGTTGCACTTCTGTGATTTCATTTTCTGTTCTTTTCTTTGAAGGGTGGTTGGTTAGGGGGTATATCTGGATCCCTAAAGTAGGCAAGGAACACCTGACACCTCCTCTCAACCCCCAAACATTTCCCTGATTAAGAGATGCTTCTGGATTAATAAATCATTTTTCTCTTACAAGTAAGCTAAGTTTATTTAACTTTAGCGTCGATTTAACTGAGGTTTCAGTCACCTTAGCTGATAAGAGTTTTGACGGGAGAAGAAGGAAGGGAGAAGAAAGGATTGATTCTGAAGTAGAGGCGGCACCTCCGGGGAAGGCAATAGCTCCGTGCGGTGTGAACCGCCAGACTCGGGGGGCCGGAGAGCACCACACGGGCCCTCTGCGGCAGAGGAGGTTCTGGAAATAGGAAGGACTAGAGTCTGGGCTCACGGCAATGGGGGTTTACCCTGAAATCACTTTTGCATGAATAGTCTTGGCACTGCTGTGTCAGGTCTCTTTTAAACATTGTTCCTATTTAATCTAGATTTGCTATTCCAGATTAATTTAAGTTCATCAAAGTCAAAACATAGTTCCTGTCTTCACCTTTGAGCAGAACAAGATATGACAGAAAAGAGAAACAGGATGCCAATGAAGTCCAAACTTTTGTATGACTTGACCTACATTTTCATTGGCTTCCTCTGACCTATTCCCCTTGCCCTCCCTGGGCCTCCTTTAAAACCTCCTTCCTCCCCCTTTTTAAATTACCTTTCATATTTCTCTACAATATTCAGGGCTCTCCTGTTGTAGAAATCCTTAAATCATTCTAAAATATAGGCTTGTATATACCTCTTCTAGTAGGAATCTACTGTTAATAAAAATAAACAGACGTCTGTGTTTGCTGAGAAGCTTTCCTTGGGAAATACTGATTGCTACATAGCCCTAGTTGTAACAAATATTTTTGAAAACCCTGACTAGAAAAAAACAAAACACAAAACACCATCTTCTCATCTTTGTTCCAAATCTATGCATTTTCCTTTTATCTTAATTTTATGTTTCACATCAAGTTGTCTCCCACGCTATACTCACGTGGTCTGTCATTAATGGGGTGGTGTCCAGAAAACACGTGTTATTTGGTAATTCACTTTTGATGAACAAAAATATGAAAGTACTGTAAAGAAAATAAATATTAGTGGTATTTACCATGAACCCTGGTTCATATCAAGTTGCTTGAATTTTAAGAAAAAACACAGCTTAAGTGAAGTTCTACTGACATGATGATTACTTCCAAACTGCGTCTTCAGTGGTTCTGCCATTTCTTGAGAACTGCTATTCTCTTTGGCGTCTCTCGTTGTCCTTAATTACAACAGGTTAAAAGCTAAGCTCTAAGGCCTTCCCCCTAAATCAGATCTTTCTCCTATTTTTTTTGTTTTGGTCAATGGCTCTTTCTTTTCATTCCTGCTTAAGCCTAGAATTACATGGTAAAATAATGCAAATAAAAACTACCTTGAAATAATATTTTTTTACCTATTATACCGGGGAAAAAACAAAACAACCTACCCAAATTTTAATAACATCTCAGTTGGAAACAGGTACTCCTGATGGGAGTGTAGAACTATGCAACTCCCATGGAGGAGACTCTAGGGTCATCTACCAAAGCCACAGACGTGTCCACTCCCGACTTTATGAACACATTGTATGCGGGAAACGTATTTATATGTTTTACGTTGACTGGTAGTAGAGCGCGGGATAAAAACTGCCTGCAAACAATGTGTGAATATTGTTCCAGGACCTAAAATACAGGTATATCACACTCAGACAAGGTGACCTTCACAGACAATGCTGGAATACTATGCAGCCATGAAAAAGAAGTGAGAATGCCTTTTATGCTTTGATAAGCAAAGATCTCTAGAGTATATTTTAAGAGATAGAAGCACGTGCATAGTCTAATGACTTTTCTCCCTTTAACATTCCATAATGCACTGTCTCTTCATGTCCAACATCTTTGTAAAGAATGACTCACTTACTCTTGACTTTTGAACAATGCAATTGTGTTAAAATATTAAATCAATGTAAGAAAACTCACAACTTTGATATACTTTTGACATTCCTTTTTAATGTTTGCATGGTTCAAAAGTTACAACAATATAAGTTTTCAAAGTACATATGTGGCTAAAATAGTATAAGTAGCTAAGTGTTAAACAGTGCATATGATGTGCTATCTTTCATATAAAAATTAAATATTTCTTAGTTTCCTTAGTTCACTCTTCTACTTGCTTTAAAACTTGAATGACTCCATAATCCCTTCCATTGGAAACTTAACTTTTTGATTTTTATTGCTGTCTGCATTGTGTTCCACCCAACCCATCTCAACACAATTCCCCACATGGACTTCTTTCTCTGACCATCCCTGCTCCAAAATCTCCTCCATCCCCAATCTTTCACAACTATCTGCTCTGGCTTATGTTTCTCACTTAGCTGAACACACTAGGCACTCTCTTATCAGACTTTTTATAACATTAGATATAAGGTGGTGTATAAAATAAAATAAAAATGGTGACTGAGGTTTTGATTTTGAAAGGTTGTGACTAATACCTTTTATGAAAAGAAGGAATGTGGGAAGAGGAACCAGTTTGGAGGGAAGGGTAAAATAAGAAAAGTAGTTCTGGTTGGAAAATGTTGACAGCAAAGAGAAAGGAACTAGCAGTCTAGTATTTGTAGAGTGCTGACCATGTTTCTGAATTAGCAGGGTCCCCAGACATGAATTATTTTACTTCAGACTGAGTAGGAGAAGCTTGGGAGGCATCTATGTAGAGATGTGAAGCCTGGTCTGTAGTTAGATGTTAAGGACTGTGGCTCTGAATAAAAGTAATTGCTAGAAACAAAGATTTGGGTTTCCTCACAACACAATTCTCCTGAGAAGAACAGTTAAGTGAGAAAAGAATAAAGAGTAGACCCTGAAATAATCCAGAGCATTTCTTTTTTAATTGAAAAGAAAATCTGCCTTTTTATGAACTCCGACTCATAGATCTTTATTAAGGCATGTTTAAGAGAGTGCCCTGGACATTGTTTCTTCATGTCAGCTCCACTTCCACCCTTATCTATTCTCTCCTGAATATAATGCTTAGAAGACTCAAAACTACATTTTCTCAAACTATATTGGCGGCTAGGATTTGCCAACGGGAGGCATAGGCATGAGATTAAAAGGTAGGAGACACAATTTTGCTTTGGTGATGGCTCCAGAAATTTCAGCAGCAGCTGTCACCCAGGGCAGAGGCAACTGCTCAGCAGTGCTGGCCAGAGTGTGGGCTCCGGGGCTTCCAGGCTGCACCGCTTCCTCCCCTCACTCCACTGGGCCTTATAACACTCTTGTAAACAATCCCCTGTGTTATATCCTCTGCTGTTTAAAGTACCTAAAGTGGTTTTGGGTGCAGAGACTGACTGATACTTACCTTAGGTATCATATTGGGAAAATACAAGGCTAGAAATAATCTACCCAATCCTTTAAAAACTGGACTGTACAGACAGGAGCAATAATTTCAATTTTAAAAAGAAAAGCAACATCCTAAACCAATGTAGCCATATTCCAAGTTTTCTTATACTGACCATGAAACCCCAAGCTTATTTTAAAAATGTCCTTCAGAACAAACTGATTTATCTGAGTTAAAACAATGAAATGAGAGGTTCTAGAAATTCTCAGTAAAGAAGCATAGATGGGAGCCAGGATACACCACAGAAAGGGATCATTGCATTTCCCTGCCAGAGATCAAGCTCCAAACCAAGCTGCATGGGTCCCTGGGTGCACTGTTTACCTTACCGTAGACTTGGACAACACATGTCCAAAGGGAAACAGTAAATGAACATGACATAGTTATTAATAAAAATAAGGACTATTATGATAAAAATTACCCAACATATAGAGCAATAGCAATGTGTCTAGCACTATATAAAGCACCTAACATATTTTATTTCATTTAATCCTCAAAATATCTTATGAGGCTGGTGCAATTATTATCCTAAATCTATCCCCAGAGGAAGAAACCAAAGCTTCGAGAAAATAAGTGATTTGGCCAAGGTCGTACAGGTAGAGGTGGTAGAACATGAATAATTTGTAATTTTGGAGAATGTACACTTTCTATAGAAAGATAAATATGGAGAAAAACAATGCCTGATGGACTGGCTAAATTGGCCTTAAGTTACCATTAGGTGAAAACTAAAGCATGCTAACTTTACAACATTCGGTTGTAAAGAAATTGTTTCTGAGAGAGCTATTCAAAGCTAGAATGCTGTATGAATTGTACAAAATACATAAAATTGCCTCTAACCAAAAAATGTCAGGAATCTGCTATTTCAGAATAATCTATGTTATTTCTTCTCCAATTGGCCTGGAACCACTCTCTAAAGCAACATTTCAATGACAAAGAGATTGTTCCTGAGTGTGGCTGGCAAAGAGCTATCATTGCTGGAGGAGGGGAAATACAGTTTTCTTTCCCTGAAAAATAAAAAAGTACGAAAATCTTCCCAGGCAGCTCTATCCGTTATGTGAAGCACTGACAAGGAATATAGATGGAGCCGAGAGAGGAAAGGGGACTGACTTTAAGGTGACCTAATTTCTGTTTGAGTTTTATTGACTGAACACTGCCATATAGAGGTTCAAAGTCATTTTCACCCTCATTCATACAGAGTATGCAAAGAGACACAACACAGATACATCTAAAAATATTTAAATGGGTGTGTGTTTGCATAGGTGATAGAGTTGGTTATCTAACTGGGTTAAGAAGAGTTGAGTGAAGTGACAGGGACGTGGAAACTGGGGGGTACAGAGTAAGTGAGTAAGAGAATCAATGGCTATTTCTCGGGCCTCAGAAATCCAGCATATTTAGCTTCCATGGCATTTCTGAGTTTGCAAAACACTTTAATATGCTCTTTAATTCTAATTTTTAATCCATGTGTTATAATTTTCTAAATATTATAGAAAATGAGAGTGAGCTTAAAAGGAGCTAACTGAGTTTCCCAGGGTCTCGGAAACTCAGGGTCTTTGGAGAGCTAAAGCTTGACTCCTGGCCCCAGAGCTCTCGGCACTTTCAGTCTTCTCAAGCCAAGTCTGTCAGCGCAAATGAAGAACGCGAGGAAGATCATGCCAATTTATGAAATGTGGGTTTAAAACAATGGAAGCGCATCCGGATCTTTAACAAATACTCTAAATGTTTAGAAGAGCAGCCGAGTCATTAGAAACAGCGGGGTACCTTACTGCTGAGAGTCCAGCTCCAAAGGAATTTAGCAGCGGTTTGGCGACTTCTTCTGCATCCATCCCAAACCAGCCGAACCTGGCAGGTGAGAAGGTGACATGGAAACCGCTGCTGTTGAAAATGTGTTCATGACCGCGCTGAGGGCAGGGGCTCAGGGCCAGCGTCCCGGGTTCAAACCACAGGTTCCTCACTTACGGTGGCCAGGGTAAGTTATCTTCGCCATGCCTCAATTTCCCAATTTAAACGGGGGTAATTATACCTACCTTATAGGTTTCTCGGGAAGATTAAGTGCGTTAGTATACGTAAAAGGACCTGTGAGTGTCCCTTTCTTACTAAGACTAAGGCAGAAGGAAGACAAAACATAGGCGAAGTGGGTGACTGAACGCTAATTGGTTGGCTGCAATCCTGTATAGTATTTGACATGGACTCGTAAATAACGCTTGGTTACAGACGCCCACTCCTCGCCATCACCTTAAACTCCTTTTAGTTTCACGCCTTGACACTGTGGTGACCGTTACCAGCCATCACTGTGAAACGACCAGGGGCGAGAGAAAAAGAGGCAAGAAGAAAAAGGGAAAATCGTACATGTGAAAAGCAGGGTGGGCAACGGGGAAAGGACAGGAGAGAAGGCTTCGGAGGTTAGTTTGTTATTGTTGAAACTGCAGTGCTTAAGTGGGATGACAAAATCAGAAAGCAAGGTAAGAGTAATAGCCTCCCTTTTATTCATTTTCCCAAGCTCTGCTTGAACGTTAATCTCAGTGCTGACCCAGAGCAGGGCAGTGCAGGCCGCTGGGACTATCTGTGCTTGGGGCTGCTCCACAGCCGCGGTGCACCACAGCGTGCTTTCTAGGCCGGTATGGCCGTTGAGCACTTGCAATGTGGCTAGTACAGCTGAGGAACTGAATGTTTAATTTGACCAAATTTGAATTAATTTAAATGTATATTTTTTGGCTTTTTATTTTTTTACTTATTTTTTAAATTTTGGGGGTGGCATCTGTGACGCATCATCTGTATATTGCATCGTGTTTACCACCCAAAGTCAAATCTTCTTCTGTCACCATATATTTAACTCTCTTTACCCTTTACTACCTCCTAACCCCTTCCCTTCGGTAACCACAGTACTGTTGTAAATTTAAATATAAATGGCCACATGTGGCAACTATATGGGGTAGCCTAGCCCTAGAACTGGTGCTGGCAAACTCTTCTTGAAAGGAGCAGAGAGTAAATATTTCAGGCTTTGTGGGCCAGACGATGTCTTGCGACTACTCAACTCTGTCATTGTAGCCTAATGGCAGCCGCAGACAACACTTAAATGGACCAGTTTGGCTGTGTTCCAGTAACACTTTCTTTACAAAAACGTCTGGGAAGCTGGACCCTGGTTTGCTGTCCCTGGACCAGACTCTAGAGGGAAGAATATATGCTTTACAATGGGAAGATCTGGGCTTGAATCTGGCTTATTAGCTCTGTGACCTTCAGCAAGTTACTCAACCTCTTTGTGTATCAGCTCTCTTATAAGATAGTGCTTCCCTCATATATTTGTAAAAATTAGCTAAGAATGAATGGTGCATACAACATGCCCAACAAACTGTCACACAATAGAAAGGGAAGATAAATATCAATTCCATTTCTCTCTCCCTACATTTTTTCCCCTAGAGATAATTCTTTACAATATCTTGATCAAATATCTAGATAACTTCTTTAGAACTTAGGGTAAATAATAATTAAAGGCAGCATATTTTATGCATGTATTTTAGCAGTAATTTTTAAAAGGATAAGAACCGTATGCTATTCCTCTCAGGTAGACCAATCCTTAGCTGTAGCCTTACATATATTATGAGCTCAGAGAATCTTACTTGAAATAGCTTTGTGTTACCTTGAGCTTGCCCAACCAGTTAACGTATTAAATGATCCCCAGATTAAGAGTCCAAGACCTAAACCAATGGTTTTCATAATTGGAACAACAGCAATATTCCCTGTAGATGTAACATACAGAAGAAAGGTATTATTTTCAATGCAAAAAATACATTTATAAATTGATTAACTTTTATTTTACTTCAATAAAAACTTATGGGATTTGGACAAATTTAGTATAGCACAATTCCTCATTTTTAAAATAAAATAACCATATTTTTGGCATTATACTCATGATTATGATTGCTAAAAGAACTATGCTTAGAGAAAAATCATACAAAAAAATGCAGAGTAACTCTGCGTAACTGCACCAATACTCTTCAACCTTAACGCAGGTCTCTGTTCCCTGACTTTTTGCAGTAACCATCATCAATTAACTTAGTAGTGACCATCCTCTTAGACTTGAACTAAAGCCAACAACTGGTAGAAGTCTTTGGCCTACTATGACCCCAGACTTTGCTCTCCCATCCTCACTGACTTATGTTCTGTATTCCTGCATTCATTGCTTTGTCCTCTTGAGGGTCACACAGGGCCAACACCATGATGTTTTTTAATAGTTCTTAGCCCTTCAGCAGTCTGGCTTCAGACTAGCAATCTTTTCTTAATAGCTTTCCTCTCTTGATTTTCAAGATGCCCTCATTTCCTGATTTCCTCCTGTTCTTCTCTTTAGCTCTTTCTCTCCAGATTTAGGTACCTACTAAATATTTTCCCTAAAACACATTCCTTCTCTTGCCATATTCTACTTTGGGTACTTGGCTAATTTTGTGATTTTAGCTATCAACTAGGGAGACATACTCCCAGCCATATAGATCTAGCTTCGATCTTGTGCCCGGTTTTATGCTTCAAACTGTCAATAAGAGATCTCCAGCCAGATGTTCCCCACTGTGGAAACTTCAGGGACTTCAAACTCAAGTGGTACCAAGTTGAACTCATTATTTTCTCTTTCAAACATGTTTTTTCCCTATTATCCTCATTCTTGTCACTGATACCACCACCCTCTTGATCACCGACAATAAAATCCCCACGTCATCATAGACTCTTCCGTTTTGCCTACTATCCACATCAAATCAGTTACTATGACCTATAGCATCCACATCTTCAACACATCTAAAGTTAGACCCTTCCCCTATGGACTCCCAGCTGGGTGAATATAAATACTATGGGGTGGATATCAAGATCTGCAGGATGGCCCGGCCAGGCGTGGCTCAGCGGTTGAGCATCGACCTAGGATCCAGGAGATTGCGGTTCGATTCCCAGTCAGGGCACATGCCCGGGTTGCAGGCTAGGCAGCCAATCAATGATTCTCTCATCATTGATGTTTCTACCTCTCTCTCTCCCCCTCCTTTCCTCTCTCTGAAATCAATAAAGATATATTAAAAAAAGAAAAAAAAGAAAAAAGATCTGCAGGATGAATGGATGTTTTCTCTGTTCCCCTGCCCCAATTATACCTGATAAACATAATCACACTAAGGTGTGAGAGATAATAATTTAAATTCTAGAGGAAATTTAAAAGTTAACTCTTTTGTCTTCCAACTCATGAACTTCATCAAATCACTTATTCTGCAGATATTCAAACTGAGCACCCAATAAATTTTTAACATTTTAAAATTTATTTACTTTTAATAAAATTACCTCTAAAGACCCTTGATACTTGAAATTCTCCTTGCTAAAAAGAAGAAAGCTCTCCAGGGCTGTACTTATACATTGTTGATTGGCCAAGTGAAGGCATAAATTCTAGTTATAGAATTTCAGGTATTGATAAGGCAACAGAGGGAAGCTTTTGTTTGCTTCTATTTATTTTCTTCTGCCAGTGCTTTTGAAACGATAATGTATCTGTGCTCGTCCAATTTAAAATACAAGTCCTAAAAATGATATTGGTAGAGACTACTATTTAATAAATATTTTCTGGTAAACATGCTAGACACAGAAAGGCCAGAGCACTTAAACTCATATATGAGTTATGCTTGAACAGCTAGAGAACAATTGTAATATTTTTGCTATAATTTTCTTTCAGGGACTAAGAAAGAAATCATTAAGAGGATTCATGAAGTACACCAAAAATATTTATAGAGAATCTGAATGAAAGAAACTTTATTGTCAATTTCTAGTATCTATGACTAAGAATTAGTCAGACTTACTATTTGTGCTATTTCCTTCTATTATGAACCAGTTATTCTGAGCATAGTATAAATTGATTAAAGTATTAAATGATAAATTATATCATACTTTACCTGTTGCCCAAATGCATCCCCCAACCATTGCAAAAGGCCAAAACTTAGGGCAATGTAATATCAGATTGGCCACCAAGGCAACCAACCATATGGCAGTGCAAAGTACCCACTGGAGGAACATTCCTGGAAATAAAAGAAATTGGTGTCAGTGGTTCAAACTGATTTGAGTAAATTAATGCTTAGGAATATCAATGAGGTATTATTATAGGAATGGCCACAATTTACTGAACGCCTATATGCCAGGAACTTTGCACATTTAATATAATGCTTACAATTACTGTCCATAATAATTAACCTTAGTTCGAAGACAGAGAAAATTAATCTGAAATGAAGCAACTTGTACAAACAGCTAGAAGTTTGTAGAAATAGAATTTAAACCTAGGTGGTTTGACTCTAAAGCTTACTAAGCTGTGCATTTCTGCATAACACCTTTTTGCATCTATTAGACAAATAAAATATTTTCTACCAAAGAGTACTGGCAAGAGTTGAGTCTCTGTTTTTATTCAGATGCCAGACCTAGTGCTGTCCATCACCAAAAACACGGCATTAAGAACTTCACAACAGCACAGCAGTGATTTAAACCTTTGGGGATCATTTATGTCACCTTTGGGATTAAAATAAAGTCATTTATGGTCACATGTAGACCTTGTACAGTTAGAGTTCAATGCCTATGATGAGCCAGACATCACAAACCCAAGAATTAGCCTTCTAGGTCAGGGCTACTCTCCTTTCTATGCTCTGGTTGCCATTTGCCAGTTATCTGAATATCACATAGTGATATGAGGTAAATCTGTACCTTTCTGAGGCTTCTGCACCATCAAGGGTGGAGGGATTAAATGGATAAAGAAAAAGTCAACATTGGAAGAAATACTAAGGCAGTGATAATTCAGTGTAGCACTTCTGACTCTAACTTTGGAAGATTTTTGCCTATTTCTGTAGAGGAAAGAAAAAAATAGCTGTTAACCTCCAAGACAAAAAAAAAAAGTAGGATCATAAAGATGAAAGGGAACATCATTTTACAAGTTCTTCATTTTATAAGTGAGAAACTGAGAACAAAAGAGCTGATGGGACTTGCCCAGGATCACACAGTTGGGAAACACCTAAAAGCTAGGTCCTCTACCCCTTAGTCTGCATTTTGTTCCTCTTTTAGTAGTTTCCATTCCTGTCTTAACTCCCAAGGAAAAGAAAGGCTCTGGAGGAAAACGATTTGTAATTTTATGGTCTAAGTTGTATCAAGACATAAGGAATTGGGGAGATAACACATCTGCTTCTTAACATGCGTTCACCATAACGTCTCCAATTCCTTCTCCTGGCTTTAATATAAAGGGCAGGTAGATAAAAACAACTATTGTGTCTTCCCTAAAATTCACATTACAGTCAGTTCTACTGTAGTGTGAACTGTAGTTACAGTCCTAAAAATCACTGCACTATGCAAAATCATGCAATAAAAACCACAGAGCTAATGGGAAAACTGGGGCTAGGGTCCAACACAAAAACATCAACAAGAGGTTAGAAAAAAAGACAGAAACCTAATAAATATGACAGTACAGTTTTACACTGGTTAAGTGGTTAAGATATTCACAAATGCTACAATAAATAGGGCCTTTTAACTTGAAAAAGATCTGAAGTTTGCTTATAGAAGTGGGCATTGAAGGTGTTGCAGCTCGTAAGTTAGTGGGAAGTTGGTGGATGAAGTGTTCTAACGCCAGATGGTGTGGCTGTGGTGCTGCAGGAACGGGTGGATGGTTGGAGGGGGGAGGGTGAGTGCATTTTGTGTATTACTGTGCATCTCTATCCATCTGGATTCAGTTTTCTGTATTCACCCAATGTTTTGTCAGTCAAATCTGCACGTAAGCAAACACAAAATTCGTGTTATGCTCAAATTGTTCTCTATCAATTGTTTTGGAAATTTGTGTTTTCAAAACAAGTGTTATTAGTCTAATGGACTAACTTCCTTCTTTTGTAAATATAACAGATATGGCTAAAAAGCTTTCCTGAAAGTATCCATCCTAACTTTACCATTGAATACAATCTTAAGGTTGTGTTATACCGACTGACTCTCAGATAAACTGGCTTGCATTATCAAATGAGTTCTCTTAAGCTCTATTAATTTGACACCAGATTCAAGAAAATTTACTTTTGTAGCCATCTTTTCAAAAGACCCAAATGGGGAACTTTGTATTTGAAAATAATTTAAGGTTAACAATGAAGGAAAAATAATTACCATCACCAGTATCATATTTTTTAAGCGGTACATAGTTTGAGCCAAACAAAAGGATGGCTAGAGAGGATGAGATGAAACCAAGGGTTAGGTCTGTTCCATTGTTGCTCATGGTTCCAGTTCTGCCTGAGAGTGAGCTGGTTCACTTTAGACTTGATGCAATTTTCAAGAGCTTCTGAAATAAAAGATATAAAAATGAAACAATGAAAAAGTTGTAACTCTGTGAACAAATTGTGATCAATACATGATATTAATTGAGTTTTTCAAAAGAATGCTAAGATTCCTTTTTCCAGATAAAGAGTTAGGACATTATGAAATTAGGTATTATGTTCATAATCTATGTTCATTTATTCATTTTTTATAAAAAAAATTTTTGATCTCTAGTCTATAATTTAAAAAAACACACTTTATCTTTAAAGCTTGAAAGCTCACTTCTAAGATCTAGATACAGTTTTATTATATGACATAAAAAAATTCTCCTGCCCGGCTGGGCATGGCTCAGGGGTTGAGCATCGACCTAGGATCCAGGAGATCGGGGTTCGATTCCCGGTCAGGGCACATGCCTGGGTTGCGGGCTCGATCAATGACTCTCTCATCATTGATGTTTCTGTCACTGTCTCTCTCTCTCTCCTTTCCGCTCTCTGAAATCAATAAAGATGTATTTAAAAAAAAAAAAATCTCCTGTGTAGGTAGATGGGTATAATAAAAAATTTGTGGACTAGGGCTGTTTACCTCAACTGGTTGTTGTGCTAATCAAATGAGAGAGCATGTGCGAAGACTTTGAGAACTGCCAGTGCCCCCTCCAGGTGAGCATGTCTCAGCGGTTGAGCATCAGCCTACAGATCTCAGTTCAATTCCCGGTCAGGGCACATGTACCGGTTGCAGACTCAGTCCCCAGCAGGGGCGTGTAGGAGGCAGCCGATCAATGACTCTCTCTCATTGATGTTTCTCTCTCTGTCCTTCCTTTCTCTCTCTGAAATCAATAAAAATATAGTTTTTTAAAAAAGAACTATCAGTGCCTTAACAAGCAAAAGCCTTGGTTATATTTCCAACATGAGCTTCTAGGCATATTTAAGTTGAATTGCTGCTGCATACTCAGGATCTCCCAGAAATAAATGCACTTTTTTTCATTAACAGTACCCTCACAGTGTGTATTAATTTAAATAGTTCAGAAAACCCTATATCTTTATGACTTTTTAAAAAACTGAACAGATAACAGAATCTCCTAAAGATCTCTTCAAGAATATCCTAAATCTCTTCAAGACTTGGATTCTTGAAGAATCTCTTCAGGAATATCTGAAAGTACAAGTTCAGCAGTGGTGTGTTGCACAATACTATCAGCCAGCCCAGGAAATGGGAGGCAGCTATTCAGCTCTCTATGTAATCTGGTAGCCACTAGCCACATATGGATAATTAAATTTCATTTAAATGAGTTAAAATTCAGTAAAAGAAAAAAATCAGTTCCTCAGACTTGCTAACCACGTATCCTGTGCTCAATAGACACATATAGTCAGTGGCCACTATACAGGACAGGGCAGGTATGGAACTAGGACTGTCCCTCATGGCAGAAAGTTCTATTGAACAACATTGCTAAGCTTATTAACAAGTTCTGGACCCAACACCACAAATAGCCAAGAAATCAGGCATTTTTCATAAGATAACATTTGGAAAAGGCTACTAAACATAATTCACCTTTTTAGTTGAATAAGCCAAATGAGAAAAACACACACAAAAGTGTCATTTTATCACAGGGGAGAAATCAGAATCTTCCCATAATACCATCCTGAATTTACATTTTGTACACTGACCTTTTGGTTCACTTCACCATGTAAGCTGTTTGAAATGGTATTGAGAATAATCCACTCTTTTATTTTTCCCTCCAAATTTAATATTATAGTGATAACTTCTTGTGGATATGTATTGAATAACTATATCTGGAATCACTTTTCATTGTTATTTTACAATGATGCACATTCACTTTAAAGGTGTTTCACTTATCCAGATGTTGTTCCTTACATGTTCTTGTAGAGAATATTAAATATACAACTACCTACATACATGTTCTTTGGCATTATTATGAGTAATTTAACTGAAAGCAAGGATAACTTCAAAATTGCTGAATTAATTTTAATAAGAACAATATCTATTTGATATTGTGTGTGCTTTCTTAAAAAACAAAACAACAACAAAACACAGCCGATATGACAGCATCTTCCATGGGGATGAAGCTGAGGAAGATTTAAACACATACACAGTAATACTATTCCAATAAAAATAATAGTTTTAATGTTTGGTAAAAAGAAAGTCTTAGCCAAGCAATGGTTTAGCCCTGCTCAAGGTTCAAGCAGGTAGGTGTAATTTTGCTAAGATAAAACAGTTGGAATAGATCACAGGGATAGGAGGTGCCTGGGAGGAATATCATGGGACTAAAAATACTACATGATTAGGTGTTAGCTAAGAAATAATTTTTTTCCCATTTTAATTAAAATAAGCAAAGTGAAACAAAACCTTTGTAAGCACATTGGTAGAACGTCAAACCTTCAAAAGAGGCAAATCATTTTAGTAAAAAGGTGGCTCTACTAAAGAATATTGACAGCCCCAAACCTCCTAGATCTCACCCCATTGAAAGAGTCATTTGAAATGCTAAGCAGAATGCAAGAACTGCATTTTGACTGCTGAATGAACATTAATCAATGTTACTTCAGTCAAAGTTGTTTCCTGCAGATAAATGAAGTTTATTGCATGCAGCTCTGGTACATCTCAGAAGCCATGTAATGTAATTTCAGTGTGGGTGGCAATACTCTCTTTGAGGAAGAGCCTACCTCTTTCTAAATCAATGAAATTTTTGTGCAAAAGAAAAGCAGTATCACTTTACCCAGCACATCACTCAGTTCTTTTTAGTGCAAACCCATTGAATTAACAAATCTCAAATTACTTTTAAATAAACTTTAATTTAATATACTTTAGATTAAAATAGTTTTTTAATGCTTACTTTTAAATGTCCACTGGTATTTTATTAAGCTATAATTCATTCATTTTTGTTCTAGTAGTTTTGTCTCATTTATTAATAAATACTTACCCTCTAAGTTTCTCCTAGCAATTTAAACTTCTTTTTTTGTTGGTGTTTGCTATGTTCTGATCAATACTGCTTGCTGCACTTCAACTAACCTTTCCGTTTTAATTTCATGTTAATTTCCTCTAATCTCTGGGTAACCTCTGCGGGTGTCTTGGCTAAAATTAGCAGTGCTCGAATATACTTATTCTGAGCTTAGATTTATCTTTGTAATCACGAGCACATTTGGAAATAGCAGCAGACACTCCCTTGCAAAGGTCCTTGGGTTTCCTTTGTGCGGCTGTACTCACTGGCGCAGGCCAGCGGCTGAGCCTCCCACCCGCTCAGCACCCAGGGGATCCGCCTGCACAGCTCTGCCGGGGCGGCACCGGCTGGGCCTTGTTCCTCCTGTGCCCAGGCACCTCGCCGGCCTCTGCGTCCTCCCGGGACAATCCCCTTAGCACCGGTGAGAGGAAAGCAGGAGCTCGTGCATTCAGGACCCCGAGGCCTTGCGCCCTAGGCTCGTCCAGGAGGCCTGGCCAGCCTTTGCTTGCTGGGGGGACAATCACCTAGGCACCTGGCTGGAGGAGGGAGGGCTCTGTCAAAGGCGACCCTAAGGCTTGCCCGAGAGCAGCAGGCTGGAGAGCACCTTCCTTCAGCCTCTGTGCAGGAGGGCGCAGTCAGGTGACTCAGGTGACTCTGATGAGGACTCCTCAAGCCCTTTGTCAATGTACCAGCAAATCAGAAAGGCTTTTGTGTATTTGGGGAGGTGATTTTTCAGGAAACGCTGAGCTTGTCACTCTCTGTCAACATCACAGAACTAGGTATTCTTTGGACTATTTATGGATAAAACCAAAGGCCGAGGAATTTCACACAGTTGTGAAAGGTTATCCGAAGCTGAATTTTTTTTTACACTGAGTATCAAGAAATTCACCCGATCCACTAATGTCACTGACGTCTCTTGTGACATCATAAGACTTCACTTGTAATCACCAATCCTTTTTATAAATGCACCAGGCCATTTACCCATATATTTATCTAATAATTACTGAGTGCCACAGTAGAACATATTCTAGGCTTCCCAAGCTTGACTGCACATTACAGTCGCTGGGGAGGTTTTTTGTTTTATTTATTTGTTTGTTTTTAAAATATTGATATCTGGACCGCACACCGGACCAACTGAATTAGAGTCTCTAGGTGTTTGTGCCCTAGCAGTTTGGGCTCAGTGGTTAGAGCATCAGCCCGTGGACTGAAGGGTACCAGGTTTGGTTCCGGCCAAGGTCACGTACCTCTGTTACAGGCTCGACGCTTGGCCCCAGTCGGAGCGGGTGCAGGAGGCAACCAGTCAATGTCTCTCCCCCCACCTTCCACTGAAGGGCAATGGGAAAAATATCCTCTAGTGAGGATTAAAAAAAAAAAAAAATCTCAAGGGGTGTGGCTCAAGAATAATTTTCTTTCAAAACCTCCTCTGTGAGAATCACATTCTAGATCAATAGTTGTCAAATTATATTGATAGTAAGAATCAATATAATTGAGGGGGAATGGGTTAAAAATGCAGATTCCTGATATCTTGGTTTAGACTTTAAGAAACATTGTTCTAGTTTCTCACTACCTGATATGTAGCCACAGACTCCATATGGCTATTTACATTTATATTAGAATTAAAAATTCAGTAGTTCGTTTGTCCTGGACACTTTTCAAGTGCTCAGTAGCACCACTCAGAGTTCTGTTGGACAGCACTGCTCTAGGTTGTTAGCTCTGTGAGTACAGCAGTGACCTACACAGGGTCCTACCCTTCATGCAGGTTCCAGAATAGCAAGAGACACACATATGAGCAAATAAGTTCACAAAAGGGAAGTGCTGGGTTCTGTCCTAGTTCAAGAGTTCAAAGAAGGTATCTCTGAGGAAGTGACATTTAACTGACAATCTGGTGGTTAGTAATGGTTGTGGAGCTACAAGGAGAAAACATAAGGACTGTCCAAAGATGAGGTGTCCTGGAAGGAAGTCCTGCTTTAAACATTATTCACATTTATAAACTACAGTGTATGATAAGCAGATGAAAAGGTATAGTACTATGTCCTTTAAAGAAATAAAGAAGCTAAGGTTTTTCATTTAAGGGAAGGGATTAATTAAGCAGTTCAGAAAAAAATTGAAGTTCCCCTTTCCACACATACATACTCAGAGAGACACACATATACAACCTCTCTTCCAAAAACGCATAGGACCTAAATACAACTGTTTCATTCTGTGATTATGAGACCTCAGTGATCATGTTGTTTTGTTATAGTATAGTATGAAGCTAGGAAAATTCCAAGACAAGCAGAATGGGGAAACTGAGATATTGTTAAAAGCAGTTTTGTGACCACCTAGTAAGTCCTATTTTCCCTAAGCCAAGGACACTTAAGGGTAAATGGTTTGCATTTCTCCTCCCCAGCCAGAGGGTAGACAGCTTAACTCACCCTACTCTGGGAGACAGATAACAGAAAGTCCAATTAGTGCCATTTGCCAGCCACACCCAAGGACAAATGAAGTTAAGAGAATAAACCTCATTTTGGTGCATCAGCAGAAAGCAGATGAATATTCTATTGATTTGCCCCTAAGACCCTTAAACGCCCAGCCTTTAAAACCCCTGACAATGAATGTCTCAGTGAGTTCTCCCCTTCCCCCCACCGCCGGGGGCACTCCAGCACCATCTCCTTCCCCCTTCTCCCCTCCAAGGGGACCCCACCAGACTTGCAACCAGAGGAGCAATGGGCAATGGCAGCTTATCTGGGGCTTACCCCCTAAACCTGTCTCCAAGGTCCCCAACCTGTCTCCAAGGCCCCCTTTTCTCTTTCTCTCCTACTGCGTGAACCAAAGAGGCCCAGTCTAGGCTCTCCTGTTATTTCTACTATGCACCTTCCTTGTTTCACCATCCTAAGCATATTTTTGCTGTGGCCAATAAATGCTTGCTTGCTTTTCTACACTTTGTCTCCTGATCAAAATCTTTCCCTCAAGAAGACAAGAACCTAGGTCTCCTCATTGTCTCCCTGGTAACAGTTTATTCTTGCTTCAGCTTCACATCGAGAAACTGAGACTCCCATTGTTGTGAATTCCAGTACTTTTCACATCACGCAACTTAAACTGAAATTTTTCTTTCATATGCATTAATGCCTAAACAAAAAGGTCTGAACTGGAAGATACTTAGCAGGCACTAGAAGATCAAAGTTAATTTCACCTCAGTTTTCTTATATGTAAAATGTCAATAATAAGACCTCACCCTTTTATGCATTCAAAAGATATAATGTATATAAAATATTATGAGGACTTCTGGGTTCTGATCTAACATCTGAAGATCTTGAAAGCTGTCACTTCTGTCATCACAATAAGAAAAAATTAAACAAACTGAAAATCAACAATTCTTATTACTTCTACCAGAGAATTAAGGTCACAGGACACATCACTGCCCTGAACTCTGAATAGATAGGTCAATGCAGAGAATCACAGATTACTAGGTGCAGAAGCCCCTGGAGCCAGTAATGGGTGGAGGGCACTTGAACAGTAATTGGTGAATTGCTGGAGTCTGAATGTGGGCTAAATTAAGCATTGGAAACGAGGGGGAGAAGGACCCAGTCCTAGGGGAGCATCCACATTTTAATGGGTCTTACCTTCAGGAGCCACTTGAGGTTCTCCCAGTGAAGATCAGAGAAAAATGGCCTCTTGCTTCTGGCTAGGGCAGGGGAAGAGCAATCATTTTGAAATACATTCAGTGCCTTCAGTTCTCTGAAACAAAGGCTAGCCTTCAAGGGAAACGACTTTATGAAAGTGTTATTTGACCTAGAGGAAGAGCAATTAGACAACGTCTTGCCTTTCTATCTGGCATGGTTAAGAAATTCTTCTGAATATCACAGCCCACTAATTCTAGCTCATTAAAAATGGAGATTTAATCATAAACTTCCACAATACTTTATGACCATAGTAAAGGTGCTCCAGATTACAACTCAGAGATCTGCAAGACACACTATTTAAGGAGTTTCTAAGAAAAAGACATGAAAAGAAACTGAAGCCTGTGATGCCTACAGCTAGAGCAAATATTAGACACAGCCAAACTCCTTGCCAGATAACCACGAAACCTCACAGTAGAGGTCTATTTATCTTAGTTCCTATTATCTAATATATCATGTCTGGCTTTTAACAAAAAAATTACAAGATGCAATAAAAGGCAAGAAGAAAATGCAGTCTGAAAAGATAAAGTAAACATCAGAACAAGACTCAGATATGGTAGTGACTCGAATTATTAAACTGGGAATTTAAAATATCTATAATTAACTTGCTAAGAGCTCTATTGGAAAAAAGTGGATAACATGTAAGAACAGATGTGTAATATTAGCAGAGAGCTGAAAACTCTAAGAATCAAAAGAAAATACTAGAACATAAGAAACACTGCCCCAGAAATGAAAAATCCTTTTCACAGCTGAGAAATAATCAGTGAGCTTGAAGATATGTCAATAAAAACTTTCTAAATTTAAATGTTAAGAGAAAACAGAATTTAAAATAAAAGAAATAGAATATTCAAGAATTAGGGAAAAAATACAAAAAGTGTAACATATAGGTAATGGGAATATCAAGGGAAAAGAAAAGAGAAAGGAGAAGAAATATTTGAAGTAAGAATGGCTGACAATTTTAGAAAATTAATGACATACCAAACCACAGTTACAGGAAGCTCAGAGAACACCAAACAGGATAAAAAAAATCTACATGAAGGCCCATCATATTCAAATTTCAGAAAATCAAACAAAGAAAAAAATAATGAAATAAGCCAAAGGAAAAAAAGACACCTTACCTGTAGAACAGCAGAAAGAAGGAATTATATCAGGCTTCTCTTTGGGAACCATGTAAGCAAGAGAGAATGGAGAGAAATACTTAAAGTATTGAAAGAAAATCCGCCAAGTTAGAATTCTGCATCCAGTGTGATTATTATTCTAAAGTGAAGGGAAATACAGACTTCTTAGGCAAACAAAACTGAAGAAATTATTCACCAGGAGATCTACCTTGGAAGAAATGTTAAAAGTTCTTCACAGAGAAGGAAAATGGTCAGACTTTGAATTAACTTGAAGGGAAGAAGAACACTAGAAAGGAATAAATGAAGGTAAAACAATTTTTTTATTCTTAATTGATCTAATAGATAACTTTAAAATAATTAGCGGCAGTGTATTAGGTGATTGTAGCTTACGGATAGTGAAATGAGTGACAGCAATGTTATAAAGGACAGGAGGAACGAATTGGGAATAGTCTATTATAAATTACCTGATCTAACTGTGAAAGGTATTGTGTTATTGAAAGTGGGTTTAAATGGATTCTGCAAACGCTAGGGTAATTTCTAAAAATATATAATTTAAAAGAATTATGATTGATATGCTAAGAGAAGAGGGAAAATATAATTATATAAGATATTAACTGAAACCCGAGAAAGCAGAAAAAGAAAAGCACCAAAAAGGGAACAAAGAACAAGGGTAACAAATAGAAATCAGTATGTGGTAGGTATTAATCCAACTCCCTCAATAATCACTTTAAATGTGAATGGTCTAAAGACACTGATTAAAAGAAAAAGACGGACAGAGTGAAAAAAATATAGAACCCAACTACGTGTTGTTTTCAAGAAATGTACTTTAATTTAAAGACAACTGAAAGGGATGAAGAAAGCTAGGCCATGCTAATACTAATCAAAAGAAAGCTGGAATAGCTATTTTAATTTCTGGGAAAGCTGACTCTTTCTCAGTCTCAGAACAGGAAATCCTCAGCATGAAGAGGGGCGTTACGTAATGATAAAGATGTCAACTCTCCAAGAAGACATTATAAGACTCACACAGAGTGTCAAAATACATGAGGGAAAACAGATAAAACTGCAAGGAGAAAGAGACACAAATCCACGATCATAGCTGGAGTCTTCAGTACTCTTCTGTTAGTAATTGGCAGATCCAGCAGACAGAAAATCAGTAGGGATCTAGCTAAACTGACTAGCACCATCATCATCTGGATCTAATTGGCAGTTATATAATATTTCATCCAACCACAGGTGACTAAACATTCTCCCCAAGCTCGCATAGAACATTAGCCAAGATAGACTACATTCTGGGCTATAAAACACATCTTTAAAAATTAAAAAAAATAGACATTATGCAAAGTATGCTCTCAAACTATAAAGAAATTAAACTAGAAATAACACAAAGATAGCTGAAAAATTCCAAAATATTGGAAATTTTAAAAACACACCACTAAATAACTCATGGATCAAAGAGAAGTTCTTAAAACAAAATATATTTCAAGGTGAAAATACTACTTAATCAAATTTATGAGACACAGTGAAATCAGTGCTTAAGAAAATTTATAGCATCCTATCCATATATTAGAAAAGAAAGCTCTAAAATCAGTAACCTGAGTTTCCATATAAGAAACTAGAAACAGAAAAGCAAATTAAATCCAAAGTAAGTAGAAGAACAAAATAACAAAAGTTAAGGTAGAAATCAAGGAAATTAAAAACAGAAAATCAATAGAGAAAATTAATGAAGCAAAAAGCTGCTTATCTGAAAAAATCAATAAAATTGACTAACCTCTAGTCAATCTAAGAAAATAAAAAGCATAACACAAATATTGTTATTAGAATCAAAGAGCTACTGACACCATGGATATTAGAAGAATAATAAAAGAATGTTACAAACAACTCTATGCCCACACATATTATAACCTAGGTAAAATGGACCAATCCCTTGAAAGAAATAGTGAGCCAAAACTCACCCAATGAGAAATAGACAATATGAAAAGTCCTATATCAAAAAAATTGAGTCAATAATTAATAGCTTCTAAAACAGAAAGCAGCAGGCCCAGATAAATTCACTGGTGAATTCTACCAAATATTTAAGGAAGAACTTATCTGTAATCGTTCCCCCCAAATGGAAATAGAAACACTTTCTAACTCATTATATGAGGCCAGCATAACCCTAATATTAAAACCAGATAAAGATATTACAGGAAAAAAGATGCAGACCAATATCTTCTCATGAACATTCATGCTGAAATCCTCAATAAAATATCAGCAAATAGAAACCAACTATATATAAAAAGAATTGTACACATTAACCAAGTGAGATTTATCTCTGGTATGCAAGATTGGTTCAACACTGAAAAAACAGTTATTCAATCCACAACATCAACAGGCTAAAAAAGAAAAACCACACAGTCATATCAATAGATGCAGAAAAAGCATTTGACAAAACACAACATCCATTCATAATAAAAAATATGTTCATCAAACTAGAATAGAGGGGAACTTCCTCAACTTGATAAAGAACATCTACAAAAAATCTACATCTAACGTCCTATCTAATGGCAAGAAACTAAGATCAGGAACATGACAAAGATGGCCCCTCTCACCACTGCTTTTCAAAAACATACTGGAAGTACTAGCTAATACAGTGAAACAATAAAAAGAATGTGTGTGGGGGTGGTTTTAGGTAGGGGAGCTGCATTTTTGGAAGGGTAATCAGGGAAGGCCTCACCAAGAGGGAGACATATGCATGAAGGCCTGAAAGAGGTGGGGGAAGGGAGAAGGAATGGTAAACACAGAGGCCCTGAGGCAGAGTTGAGGAATGGCAGAGGTCACTATAGCTGGAACTGGTGTGGTGAAAGGGAGGTTGGTAGAAGATGAAGCTATAGAAGTGATAGCTAATGAACATGATGTAAGGGGGCTTGTGAGCTAACAAGAGGACTTTGACTTTTCCTCTGAGGAAAATGGGAGGCAACTGAAGTATTTTGATCACACAAAATGTATTAGTTATCTATTGCTGTGTAACAAATGATCCCAAGATCTAGTGGCTTCAACATGATTAAATTTTTTAATATATCTTTACTGATTTCAGAGAGAGGAAAGGAGAGGGAGGGAGAGAGAGAGAGATAGAAACATCAATGATGAAAGAGTCATTGATCGAGCCCACAACCTGGGCATGTGCCCTGAACAGGAATCGAACCCTGATCACCTGGATCCCAGGTTGACACTCAACCGCTGAGCCACGCCCGACAGGACTGTAGTGGCTTCAAGAACACTAAACGTTTATTCTCTCACAGTTTCTGTGTGTCAAGAATTTGGGAGCGACTGGGGTAGGGGTTCTCAGAGTCTCACAGAAAGTCGGCTGAGGCTCCAATCACCTGAAGGGAGGATGTGGCTGAGCCTAGGTGACTTACTCACATGGCTGGTGAGTTGGCTGTAGCTGCTGGTAGGAGACCTCAGTTCCTCTTCATAAGGGCCTCACGAGGGAACTACTTGAGTATTCTCAAGACATGGTGTGGCTTTCCCCAACAAGAGAAATCCAAAAAGGTGGAAGTGTTATTATCTTTTATGATGTACCATCTGAGGTCACACACCATCACTTCTGCAATATTCTATTGGTCACACAATTCATCCCCGATTCAGTGTAAGAAGAGATTACATAATGGCATGGATACCAGGAGCTGAGAATCCTTGTGGACTGTCTTGGATGCTGACTACCAGGAAGAAGAAAGAGAATTCCTGGAGTAATGTCCTTGTGTGGACACAAACAGATGGGATCTAGGTTAGAGCAGAGAGAATAGGCCTTGTCAGATGCAGAGAGGTCATCAGTGGTAATAGTATATTGGTGCAGTTGCAGGAAGGTGGGAAGATGTGGTGATGGGAGCTTGTGCACTTTCTCTTCTGATTTTCTTTTCCTGCTTCTCTGTGAAACAGAAAACAAAGTCATAGGTCAAGAATGAGGTTTTGGAGCTTCATAAATATTTCAACTTTTTCAATATCTCTCAAGTGATGCAGCGGTCATTGTCATATTACTTGCTTGGTCGTATTACCAAGGAGAAATAAAAGCCCTCTTTTTGATCACTGTTGTATTAGAAGAGGTACAGCCTTAAGTCTTAGTAAAGTGAAAAAAAACAACTCTGTGTCATTTTTTCATTTTAAAGAGTGTTTTAGTCCTCTTTGGTCTCAAGAACTTTCTATATTTGTAGCATGGAAACTTTTACACTATAAACATCCTTTGGTTTGTAATTATATTAGTTTGTTACTTCTGCTTATGTAATAGAATATAGTGCACATAATTAAGGGTGCTTAAACAGACATTTAAAATACTTTCACCCCGTCTCAGGGCACCCTTGTGTCATACATTATCTGTCTACCAGCTAGTCCCCCTTTCTACCAGGTCTGCCTCCACCTCCACGTCCCCCACTTCCAGTGGGGCCCTCAGTTGGGTTGGTGTTGACTAGATGGTGGAAGGAGGACAGTTGAATGCAGTGACTGAAAGAATACTCTAATCTCCAAATGCCCTCCAGCCAGTCCTCCAAGGGAAGGTGGGGGTGGGGGCATTCAGGGTGGAGGAGGTCAATGGGGGAAAAAAGGTGACATCTGTAATACTTTCAACAATAAAGATAAATTTTAAAAATAAATAAAAGTAATAATAATTATTTTAAATATATATATATATGATATTATTTTTTTCCTAGCCTAATCAGCCTAAGACCATGAGGGACAAACCTATAGACCAACTAAGTCAGGTTTACAGACTCATTAAACCATACAGAACTGCACATCAAAGGAATTGGGGTATTTCACCAAAAAAAAGGAAAAGGGAGTTGTTACAGGACTTTGCAAAAGAGTAGAGTTTAGGTGTAATGTAAATAAAGTGGTGTTTTGATGGGCTCAAAGCAAAATAAGGTTGTGTGTAAAGGGGTCAACATTGGTTCCAGACTGTGAAATGGACATGTGGTTCTATTTCTTGGAAACAAAATTAAAATGTCAAATGTTATGTCCAGAAGCCCATTAAGTGAAGGTCTGCACATGGAGTATAAATCAAGGCTGCTTCTCTGTGTCACAAGACTTAACCTCTTCAGACAAGAGTGGGATGTTTTATTCTTACTGAAATAATTTAAAATAGATATTTTGATTGTTTATAACTTTAGAGAAGATTTCTTAGTAAGAAATAAGTAGTCACTCCACGAAGTGGGCTATTATAGTATTTTACAGAAGCAATGTGTATTTGTGAGAAATAGTTTTCTGATAAATTTGTACCTGGCTTTATTTGAAGTTCTGATTCTGGATTGATGAATGGTAAGGAAGACGTTTATTTTCTTAGCCCAAGCAAATTTTTACTTTTCCAGTCTATATTATTATAACTTACATATAGCTCAAAATATTGATGCATAAATCACTTTCCCTGAGTAATCTTGGTCAAGACACCTAAATAGTTTGTATCACATATTTTCAATTTGTAATATAAGGAGGTTGGAAGAAGTTCTCACTAGTCTATTTATACAAAACTAGAGCTCTTATATTAGAGCCTGAATTACAGTGACCCCTGCATATGTTTACACGATCTCAGCATCTAAGTATTCTGCAATTATGTCTGCTAGTTTCCAAAGGGAAGGCTTACATTCCCAGTGTGACATCTTCATATGCTTCCTTTCTTGTTGTAGCTTCCCTGGCTAACATCTACTATGATCAAAGTTGTCTGAGGAAGACCTCCTGTTGCTATGACTGGTGGGTATGTGGCATTAGACCCATGTTCCTATAACTGCAACTTCCAAAGTGGAGGCAGAACATTGCTGGGTTCTGTAAGAACCTCAGAGGAAGTCTCTCTTCACTCTGATGTCTTCTGGCCTTGAGTCCTGCTCATGCTAATTCTTTCAGTAAAGCTGCCTGTCTTCTGTGCTTCATCTTCTGCAAGCAACCCTCAAAACTTAAAACAAATAAAACAAAAACAAAGAAACAAATCAACCAATAATAATAAAAATGTCAGTATTCTCAGAGATCTAGCTCTGATTCTACCTTACGATGATGATTAATCAAACCACAGTACTTCAGCCTATCATAATTTTGTCAAGAACAAAGAGCTTGCCTTAAGTGTGTGTAAAGGGCACCTCTGTTGATTTTCTAAAATCAAGGGAACAGCCTGCCCAGGTATTTTAAAGTCTCCATCATTAGAGACCAAAAAGCTCTCAGGGTGCCACATTTAGCTTAAAGTTTTTACTTGATTTTATTCATAAAAAAATTTAAATCTCTTGAGTCTGATCTTAGCCAGGTATCCTACTGCATAAGTAACCTTTAAAATGCCCTCCAATGATCACACACGGCCTCTCATACTTTACTCGTTGGTATGACCGTGTGATTTTTCTTCAACAGGATTTCTAGTCAATGAACTCACAGGATGAGAGTCAGAATAATAGCTCTGGTGGAGGGACAGAGGAGACAGGTCACATCACTGAGGGTGCTGATGAGAGTATCACTGATGAGATCTAGCTAGGGCTCTAAGTGGGGTGGTGAAATAACAGGAAAGAAAGACACCGATGGGGCTCTAAAGGGAAACCTGGCTGGTGTATGATAACCAGTAATAACTATTGAGATTTTGCTTCGGCAATTGCTGCACAAAGAGCCTTATTTGCATTGTCTTGTTCAATGCCTAGAACAATTTGGTAACTTACACACTATTCTTATCTTCATTTTATGTGTGAGGATACAAAGCAAGGTTCAAAGAGTGCCTGGCTCAGATTCACATGGTTGATAAGTGGTGGTGCTAGTTTTCAAGCCAAAATCTTTCTGGCTTCAGTGCTTGAGTTGTTAATACTTAATATACTTTCCAAAATATTGTGAGATATAAACCTCATTCTGTTCTCTTTAAATAGACTTTAATTGGACATGGAAGCAACTATTTGAAGCAGCTAAATAACTATAACTAAATTCTTAATTTTCTTCACCCACTGCCAATCAACTACATCTTGACTTTCTTATTTCTGACTACTGAGCCCTCCTATTTTGACTCTATTCCCCTGACCTTTATGCTTTTGGGGTGGGTGTCTCATTTTCAAACTTAACATCTTGATTTCTCCATTAAGGATCTCACCTGGATGTTACTGAATTTCGTGCACCAAAATCCACGAAATAAGAGACAGCTTTACAGTTGCCAAATAATCACAAGAAAAAGACCATATATGTTTGAGAAAATTGTCGACAGTAGGCTATTGATCTGATATGGGAAGTTTATTAATGAAAATTTGTAACGGGTCCAGCAACCCGATTCCTGGGTATATATTCAAAGGAAATGAAATCAGTGTCTCAAAGAGACATCTGCATTCCCATGTTCATTGCAGAATAGCCAAGATAGGGATACAATCTAAGTATTTGTTGACAGATAAATGAATTAAAAAATGTGATATATAATGGGACATTATTATATATATTTTAATGGAATATTATTCATCCATAAAAAAAGAAGGAAATTCTGCCATTTGAGATAACATGGACAAACCTGAAGGACTTTATGCTAAAATAAGCCAGTCACAGAAAGAAAAAAACTGCATGATCTCACTTACATGTGGAATCTAAAAAAGTCAAACTAATAATAGCAGAGTATAGAACAGTGGTTGCCAAGGGTGAGGAATGGGGAGCACGGGAAGAAGTTGGTCAAAGGGTACAAACTTTCAGTTATAAGATGAGTAAGTTCTGGGGATCTAATAAGTTCTGGTGACTATAGTTAATAATACTGTATTGCATATTTGAATTTGCTGAAAGAGTAGATATTATGTGTTCCCATCACACACACAGACAAAAAGTAATGATGTGAGGTGATGTGTTAACTTGATTGTGGTAATCATTTCACAATGTATATGTACATCAAATCACCACATTGTACACCTTAAATATATACAATTTTTATTTGTCATTTATTCCTCAATAAAACTGAAAAAATTTGTAATTAATATTTGAAGGTAAAAAACTTATCACAGGCAACAACTCCAATATGAAGGTAAGTGTATTCCTTTAGTTTTGCATTTAGTAGATTTGGCCTTTCTCTTTCACCTGCTGGTAAGAAGGAAAAACATTGACTTTGATTTAGTTTAGTCTGATCTGTCCTTTTAAACAGAAGCTTTATTTAATACTCAGTGTCTCAATCCCTCAATCCCCAACCCTTGATTATCTGTCTCATTCAGATGGTGTCCCTGTGTATGGGGGATTGGGTGTCGCTTATGGGACATTATGAAGATGGACGATTTAGAGTCCTATGGTACTATGTTTTATGCATCCTCTAGTTTCTAGGACAGTGTCCCACTTAATTTCTGTCTTTCCTGTTGGCATTTATGGCTAAGGCATAACTCTTGTCTTTTGCTCCCATCACTCCACAGAAACTGTTAAGATTACCAATGGCAGCCACATTGCTAAATTCAATGGTTAATTCTCTCTCATTATTTATGTGACCCTTTAGCAGCATCTCTCTCTGTTGATTTTTCTCTTCTCTTTGGTGTTTTGCATTCAAATGACTTTCAGAATACCACGTTCTCTTCATTTTCCTCCTGTACTCCGAAGGCTCCTTCATCAGTCTGCTTGGATGGTGTTTTGTGCCTGTCTCAGCCTATTGATATCTATTGTTGTGGCTGAGCCAGCTCTTGTGCTTCATATTATGACTGCAAGCTAGCCTCAGCAATAACCATCAGGAAACTTTGGGAAAAAAGGGTTTATTATTTACAGGTTCTGGAAATTACGTGGCACACCTCCACACAATGAGGTCACAGGTAGAGAGAGAGAGAGGACTGAGACTGGGGTTCTGCTTTTATTGGGGTCAAGACTAGGACCTACAGTCTTGAGGCCTCACTCTGCATTGGTGAATTTAAAACATAAGAATGGGAAGTATTATGCTAAGTGAAATAAGCCAGTCAGAGAAAGACAAGTATCACATGA